AATTAAATCTACAGATAATCTGAAAACCTCCTGTATGCCATTAGTGTCAATCTGTTTCCCCACCGAATCTTTTACCAGAGCTGCTAACAAGCAGTAAAATTATTTTGAGTTTTCCTGACCTCCTATTCCTGACCCTGCCAACCATCTGGTGGAGGCGCTAATGAGCAGGGAGATGGCCAAAGGGCAGGCAACAGGAGAGATGAGAAAAAGAATGGAAGAAATTGGATAATCTACAAACTGAATAATCAGTCCCCAGATAATTGAGCTAGTTGTAGCAATAAAGCTTTTTTTTTAATGTTTTACAACCATAAAGTGCTTTACAAGTATTAGTTATCTACAAGATATTCTTGCTCAGTAGGGCAATATTATTTTTCCCTATTAAATATGAAGAAAGGAAAAGATGGGTAAATTAATTGCTTTATCCAAAGGCATTCAGCTGTTCATATTATTCTTTAGTTCTAATTTTGAATATGGCCATTTAAACTTTGTGAAATATTATTTGATAGACAAAATGGCAATTATCAAATTTTTAATTCATTTTAAAAAGAAATTTTAATTTCTTAATTCATTATCCATGTCTAGCCATAGAGATTTAAAATAGAGGTGTGAATGGAGATAAAATAATGTCTTAAAATGAAATTTTACTATCCTTGAACATAGCACAATTGTTCTTCTCACTATTGTAAAAGATATTCACTGCTACCTTTCAAATTCTCAAAACTACTATGCAAATTTTGAATACTTTTTACCTGACAATAGTTAACAAATTTTAAAATGCTAGTAATTGTCAGCAAAGAGAAAAATAAATAAATCCTTTTGCCAGATTTGTGTTGAGATGATGACATTGTTAAACAAACTGGGACATTTATCTAAAGTACTTCTCTGAAAGCAATTTACTATCCAGCCCACCAGTGGCAAAAATAAAACAAAACCAAATCTACCTACCAGCCACCACATATTCTAACAAAATTATAGTTTTTAAAAGTCACATAATTATTGTCGCAACATGACATCCCTTACAAGCAGTTCTTGATGTGGTCTTTCCTTCATGAAATTCAATTGTTAGATATTACTCGGCCATTGTCAAATGAATTGGAATACAACAGATGAGCAGTTTAACAAGCTAGGATGCTGTTCATTTTTAAAAGTTTTTCAAAACATGAAAAATCAGCATTTTAATGTTAAAATTTCTTAAATAGATAAACTTTCACACGAGTGAGATGAAAGCCAAATTAAATTCTTACATCCTAAGTAGAATTTGTGTTTGCTTGTTTAATATGCTAGTTCTAAGTGACTGATTTAGTACGTACATTAGCAGATCATTTAAAAAAAAACCAAACACACACACTCTTACAGGCACTGTCCCTATAGGATTAGAGTTGGGTTTTCAAAGTATTGTTTTATCACTAATCTTTGTAAAAGGAAGGCTGAATATAAAAAGGCTACTTTCACTATTCTATGCAGATCATATGCATTAGGGAATCAGTATTTTAATCATTGTATGGTTTATTTAGAAAGCCTTATGCTTCAAAGAGAACTCTACTTTTTCAAATATATTTTTGTTAAGTTTCCAGTGGGAAAAATGACTTCACCTTTATACATTCCACTACCACTTCTCTTTATATCAAAGTTGTTTCTTCACTTGTGAATCTGCTACAATGCTATAGTACCTGCAAGAAGTACCTTTGGATATCCCTTTCTGAAGGCTAGAGTTATATCTGAGTTTAAATAGTGTGAGTGTTAGATCAGAAAATGTTAGAAAAGAAAGAAAAGATAACAAACATCTGGGGAAAAAACAGTAGAAATAAAGATCTAGATACACTTTTAAGGCTTCAACCTCAAAATCAAGTTTTAAGTTTCTCCAATAAATTGAAGCTTGAGTCCTTTAGAAGAACCACATTGGCGACATTTTCAGGACTTTTTCAATCTAACCAGTTTGTAATGGATTTCATTATAATTCCTTATACAGTCCCCTCTACCCTTCCCCCTCCCAATATATCACTCAAGTGTCTGGATTTCTGCAAAATGGGAAAAACAAAAACTCCTTGTTGCCTTATCAAGAAACCTCACAAGTTTAACTACCACATAAAATTACATCACCTTCCTGTATCACAAGCTCTCAAATGAAAGAAGGACAACTGACCCCGAAAAAGAGATGCTTGCTAATAAAAGTAATGAAAATGCATATTTTTAAATTGACGTACAGTACACACCCATTCACTAAAAAAAGGAAGAAGCAGTAGCTTGGGGAAGCAGCTGGGGTTTGTTAGTAACTTTGTAGTGATTGAAGTTAAGCTTCAGACTATAGTCCTTTGGGTGAGTTTCTGGGTCAACCTTAGTATCTTCTATAGTGCTACTTTTTTCCCATTAAAAACTACTAAATTCTACTTCAGTAGCATTTTCCCTCTATTGCTAATTTTCTTTCCCTTTAAAAAAAGAAAGAAAGAAAAGCTCTGCACAAAACATTGAAAAGCATCTCTTATTTCCATGAATTCATTGTCTATTGCCTTGCTTTTCAGTTTAAAACATGAATTGTTTCTGCAAAGCAACATCTGGTGATAACATTCTGCTGGTTAAGCTAGACCACCATTTTCTTAATTTCACTCAATTTTTTTTTCTCTTTGGCTATACTCAATAGATGTATTTCTAAACATACTGCATCACTAACTAAAGCATAAGATAGAATTCCCTTTGTAGGCAAAAACTGAGAATTGCCAAGGTTAACTGCCTAATTTGAACCGGCAGAAGTTCCAGCTACTGGAATTCTACAGCAGTCTGCTAACCAGTCCATCTCTGCACTTCCATATTGAAGGAAACAGCAAAACCACTGCTTTTCGGTTTGATAAACAACATATGACATAAAACCTCTGCACTTACTAGAAAGGGCTGCAAACTTGGGAAAATAATGATCAGATATAAATGTTTCTCCTCTCAGTTCTAAGAGAAATTAAGCTATTTGGTAGTAATTGATAATTCTTTGGTTCAGTGATACTCAGTGCAGATTTACTGAAGGCATGGTAGAATACCTCGATCAAGGGTGGGGGACTTGTGGCCTTGAGGCCACATGGTGATCTTCTAGGTCCTTTTATTAAGGGGATTTGTTCTGTGAAGTTTGGATTTTGTCAAAGGGCTGCACTGGAGGACCTAGAGGGCCACATGTGGCCTCAAGGCTCCAGGTTCTCCACCCCTGACCTAGATACTTTGTGGTACAAGCTGAGAACATAAAATTCGGGGCTTACTTTTGCCATTCCACCCAGATAAACCTCTTAATGACTTTAATGCAATCCCATTCACTGCATTCTGAGGGAAGGATAGAAGGGAGTCCAACTTTTTTTTTAGCAATATCTTAAATATGCATGTCAATAGTCCACTGGCAAAACTACGCCCTGATGTCTTTTTCCTACCAAAAAAAATTTCTAATCTCAAACAGTTTACAATAGTAATAACATTTTTCTCTAGCAATAATATGAGTTACATTTAGGACATCAAAAGACTAGACTTGAAATTCAAATAAAAATAAATAATTCAAAAAAATTCAAAAAAAATAATTCAAATAAAAAAAGACATGTGAGAAGAAACCCTATGCATTTCCTACCCTTCCTATTACATTAAACCATTACTACACACAATTTATAGGATATATTTTTTAAAAGTAAATAAGCCTAATTATTATTGTAGGAATAAAAATGTAAAACATTGGTTTCCAAACCATGAGCCCAGTAAATCCAGTGACTTTAAAACATATACCTCTAATTCGAGGAAATAAGTGAATGACATTATTGGAAAGAATTAAACTTGCTACAAAATACATTTTCTATGGAAAAGTCAGTAATTTACTTCTTCAGAGAAAGTTTTTTACCAAAGGATTTCACTGAACTTAATCTCTCACTATTACTGGCACCATATTCTTGCCAATATAAGAAGCATAAACCTGAAATACTCAGTCTATAAACAAATGCACAATATTCTTTTATTTCCTCTTTTATGTACAGGGAAAAAAATCTTTAAGGACCAAAACTGAGATTTTCAATAATTTACAACACAATCCTTTCCATTTTTAGTCAACAAGAAGCCACATCTTACTGAAGTCAATAACAAGAATGGCTCAGGCGTTCTCACAAAGTCTTGCAACACAAGCCATTCAAGGACATATAAAGTCCTTGATAAACTTCACCCAGCCTGAAGATCAGAAAAGCCAAGATTTCAGAGGCATAGAATCTTTATGTCCAGGATATCAGCAAGAAACTTTTAAGACAAGTTACTCCATGTTTTACTTCTTGAAAGGGTGGCAAAAAGAAGAGTACATCAATGAAGAGATTAAAAAGGTGTAACATAAAGTGTATAAAATGGTGTAACATAAGAAACTGCCAATAGGAAAAAGGTAGTGTTCAGGTGGAGAAAGAAAAAAAAAACAAGATGGATGAAGAAAATCCTAGAAAAGTCACTACAAAATACATCATGGACTATATCTTCTTCTTTATTATGTGATGGACCTTCTGACACTTTTCAGTGAGGTCCTCCTCAATTCCATTAGAAAGATGGAAAGAGGAGATATGGGAAATAGCAACTGGAAAGAAATATAAGGATCTATGGGAGAAATCACCTCATTCACTACAATCTTCAGTGAACTGAATGAATTTTGAGTGTCATGGACCCAAAATCTGAATATAGTCAATAAGACAAAAGGTACTTAAATGTGTAGCAGCTTTTCAAGAAGCAACACTTGAAATTAAATAAAAGTCATCACTCTCAGAAAATAAGTGTCCTTAGTCCTTAGTCTAAAGGCAGGAAGTTTGCCTGTGATATTTTCACTTTTGCCTTAACCCATTCAAAGATTCACAAAATCAGAAGGAAATGAAAGATAGAAATCCACATAAATCCACCTAAAGAATTGTATATCTCCTCCCACTGCCAATTGCCCAACATACACAAGATAATGAAGAGAGTTATTTCTAAGAAGTCAAAAGATAAGAAAATACAACTGGAATTTTATTACTTACCCATTTCCTGGGTCGGCCTCTTGGTCGTTTTTCTCCAGTGGCTTCTGCTTTCTGGGGGGAAAAGGATGAAATCCAAGTAAATGGTTAACATCCTGGCACTGTTTAGTAGTATTTGGACATGTGACATGTTTTCCAGTGTTATTCTATGTTCACTGATGAGCTGAATGGCTGGTTCAAAAGCTCTTTGTTTTCTGCCCTAATACTTATCTTTGAATAAATTCCAGTTACCCTCATTTCAAAAGAAAGTGTTCAAGAGAGGCTTGAACCTCTGTTATGAAATATAAAGACTATGGCCTTCCCTAAAGTGAATGAAAAGAAGTAAAAGTAATTGAGCATACACTGCTTGGCTCTCATTTCTTAATACATAATGAAAAGGTTTCTTCTTCAAATCTTTGATTGGATTATTTACAAAATCAAATATTTCTTAAGTCTTCAAGATTTTTTCCTCAAGAGTCTTGACTGAACAAACCATAGATACTTAAAAAGACATATGAAAAAGTTAGTTTAAGCATATCTATCTATCTATCCATCTATACATATATGTGTACATACAGTAGTTTAGGAGTATTTAGACATGATATGAATACATAAGTGGGCATGCAACACATATATACGTGGCTAATGTATGTGTATTTATATCTGCATGTATATTCACATATATGCATATATATATCCATATATGAGGGAAAGAGAGAGAGAGAGAGAGAGAGAGAGAGAGAGAGAGAGAGAACAGCGTTATGTAATAGCAGATCAAGTATTGAATTTGGAGTCAGGAAGACATGTTGAAATTCTTACTCCAGTGTTGACTAGATAAGTGACCATGAGCAAATTTATTCATTGAGTCTCAATTTCCTCACCTGTAAAATGGGGATAATGATTCCTCTAGCACCTATTTCATTGGATTATTGTGAGGCTTAGATGACATAAAGCATGTAGTGTGTTTTATAAAAAAAAACTCTATAAATGTCTGCTATTTTTATTAAACACATGAGCATTTCTTTCAAAAGGTAAATGTTCTTGAAACCATATGAGGTATGTTTTTGTATTTCTTGCCAATATAATCTACCCAACAGAGACTCTAAGAACTCAGGGATAGAGAAAAGAGCCCCCAAATAATCACTTAGTTTCCTTGACAGGAAAATTGCCATTCCCTGAGACAGGAACACACCAGGACCCTAGTAAATATTTACTTACAAAAGCAGTAACTGTAATATCATCAGCAGCCTTTGTTGCTATTCAGTCACATCTGACTCTTCTTGACCTCATTTGGGGTTTTCCTGGCAAAGATACTGGAGTAATTACTATTTTACAGATGAGGAAACTGGAGCAAACAAAGTTTAGTGATTTGCCCAAGATCATCTAGCTAGTATGTGTCTGAGGCTGGATTTGAACTCAGGTCTTCCTGACTCCAGATGTGGCCCTCTATCCACTGTACCACCTACCTGCCTTAATCAGCAGCCTTACTATCATCAAATATTCCATATAATTCTGCATGAAGTTTAATCATAAGCACTTGAAGAGAGTTTGTCTTTCTTTCATAGATCATCTTCCTGGTATCACAGTATACTAAGATCTTATCATTTTAGAGCTAGAAGGGACCCTCAGCTAGAAAGACTCCCCATTCATTTTTAAAAGATAAGGAAAAGGAGTTCCCCCAAAATGAAGTGGCTTGTCTTAGGGACTGGCAGAATTGAGAGGAGAATTTAAGTCCTCTTACTCTATATATAACACTAGTTTCATTTTATCACTGCCTTTGTCTTGACTGGTTTCCCAACAAGTACAATACTATTCTAAAGGAAAATGTAGAGGATACCAAACCAGTTTTGGACTGTAGCAGAACCAGTTGTCCACCTTTGCTCCTGTTCATTATGCCAAGCATGGGACTATGGTAAGGATGAATTTAGGTAAAAAAGAGCTGGAAATGCAAGGATCTAAGACATCTTCCCAGGTCTCATGATGGAAAATGCTATCCACATCCAAAGAAAGAACTATGGAGTTTGAATACACATCAAAGCATACTAATTGCTAATTTTTTCTTCTGTTTTGTTTTGTTTCCTCTTTCTGGTGGTTCCTCCTATTGGTTCTAATTCTTCCTTACAACATCACTAATGTGAAAATATGTTTAATAAGAATGTATATGTATAGCCTATATCAGATTGTGCACCATCTTGGGGATGGAGGGGGAGAAAAATTTAAAACTCAAAAGCTTATGGAAGCGATTGTTAATAAATCAAATAAATTAATTTAAAAAAGAGCTGGACATGGATATGGGCAAGGTCTTGTGGACTGGCTAATGCAAGTGGAGGAAGAAGTAGGACCAAATATGGATTGTTCTGCCTCAGGGGGTACAAAGAGAAAGGCCTCAGCCTTTGCTCTGGAATCTGTCTACATCTCTTCTGTAACTGCCCTGTCATTTTCAGGATGTCCTTGGATTGTATTCCTGAGCAACTCCTCTATGGAGAAATCATCAGTCTACAGAATCAAAGGTACCAATGTTTGCTCATGCCCTGAAATGTGTGACTCTTACTCTGCCAATTCAGTCTCCTGATAGATACAGTGACTTGGTCTCCAGTGGGCAGTGAAGTGGCACAGCTTATAAGAGCATTGGGCCTGGAGTCAGGAAGATTGGAGTTCAAATCCAGCCTCAGAGACTTACTAGCTGTGTGTTATTAGTGTTCAGTTGTGTCTGACTCTTCCATGACCCCTTGTGGGGTTTTCTTGGCAAAGATACTGGAGTGGTTTGATATTTCCTTTTTCCAGCTCATTTGACAGATGAGGGAACTGAAGTGACTTGCCCAGGGTCACCCAGCTAGTAAGTATCTGAGGTCAGATTTGAAGTCAGGTCTTCCTGACTTCAGGCCCAGTCCTCTATCCACTGCACCACCTAGCGACCCTGACTAGCTGTGTGACTTTGGGCAAATCACTTAACCTCTATTTGCCTCAGTTTCCTCACCTGTAAAATTTGAATAATACCCCCCAGACTTATCGTAAGAATCAGATGAGATAATATTTGTAAAATGCTTAGCACATTACCTAGCACATAGTAGGTGCTATTAAAATGTTACTTATCATTATCATCCTCATCCTCATCCTCATCATCATTATTAGTAAAGGTCTTTTCAGAATGTCACATACATGGATGTGGAACAGGAAAGATGCCTGCAGGCAATTTCCTAGGGCTATATGAGGCTCTAAAAAAAACATAAATTACTATAACTTAGCAAATTCAAAAATAAGATGAAAGTCATTTGGATAAGTTATAGTCTTGTAGAGGTTGGATGTCTAAGTATCACCAAATTTATCATTTTAAACATAATATTTCACATGTTGGTTACATTCAGAATATTCCTAGTCCTTGGGAACTGCAGTGTTTTCAAACCTTGCTCTGATAGGATTTCCAAATTTTCCAATGTCTACTGTACTATTTACACAAACCAAATTAACTTGAGACATGCAGTAATGCACACATTCAAATGCTTAAGGCAAATTATTAACCAGAGGAAGGGTACTGTCTCCTAGACAAGTGTTTCTTCTACTTGGTACCTCTAATTCCTAAATCAATCATAGCACTCAGATCAAAGAATATCTAACTTCCTAATGTTACATCTGCATCACATTCTTGGTATCATTTTCAAATACTAACAGCTTTTCCATATGTCTAGAATATTTTCCCAAAATTACAGTGCAAGAATTTTATGAACATAGCACCAATATGAAACAAATTTATGAGCTAAAATGTAAAACACAAAACTTATTGCCATCGATTTAAACTGATTGACATTAATACAGCTGAATGCACTTCCACAATATCTACATGGAAAAATAGTCTATGCTATCACTTTTAATTTTATAGCTATTAGGTAGTTTTGCCAATTACTCTAACAGATCAATTATGCCATGAATAATAATTATCCCCACTTTTTTTTATCAAACCTAATATAAATCCAAATCTTCAAGTACTCAAGATTGCTCTATGATTCTAGATACTTTTCCAAATCCACAAGAATGCCAGCATCTGTGAAATGTATCTAGAAAATCATTAGGAATCTCACATCTAACTCCAACTCCCTGGGGACGAATTGCCTCTTTAAAGACAGACTCTGGTCCCAGGAATCTTCTATAAAATCAATTTCCCATGGCAAATTCTCTTTTTCTTCCTTTGCAATATGCCCTAGATTTTCTCCATACCCCTGTTGGTTCTGGACCACTATCAGTTCTTTGAATACAGTGTGAGCTTTTTTTGTTTTTAAGCAGTGATTGAGATGGTTTCCCCCTGTAAGTGAAGCATCTTGTCTTTATAACAAGAAAATGATTTTTTGACATCCCCTATGATACTGAGCAATTAGTAATTTCTATTAGACTTCCCCACATCCTTTCTACATGTGCATATGTATACTTTTCTAGATAAAAGTTGTTGCTGTTCAGTCATTTTCAGTTGTGTCTGACACTTTGTGACCCCTTGTTTTCTTGGCAAAGATACTGAAGTGGTTTGCCATTTCCTTCTCCAGCTCATTTTACACATTGAGGAAACTGAGGCAAACAGGGTTAAGCGAATTGCCTAAGGTCATCCAACTAGTAAATGTCTGAGGCTGGATTTGAACTTAGGTCTTCCTGCCTCCAGGTCTGGCACTCTATCCATTACACCACTTAGCTACCCCTCTAGATAAAGGAACCTCCACTAAAATCTCATTTTGATGTCTAAGGAGGTTGGTACAGAGATGATCTCAGGTTGGCAAAGGCTTTATCAAGCAGAAGGGAAAGTCATATGGGTTCTACCAAGCAAGTAAGACTTTTAAAGTCCAGACCCAGTCGCACATCTGTTATTTATGGACCAGATAAAGTAAGGCTGGAAAGTCGGACTTTGTTGTTGTTCAGTTGTTTCACTCACGTCCAACTCTTAGTGACCCCATTTGGTGTTTTCTTGGCAAAGACACTGGAGTGGTTTGCCATTTCCTTCTCTAGCTCATCTTACAGCTGAGGAACTGAGGCAATCAGGGTTAAGTGGCTTACCCAGGGTCACCCAGCCAGTAAGTGTCTGAGGCTGAATTTGA